AAAGCTGGAAATGTGGAGTTTTATTCCACCACTACCAAGGAAACTCCTGCCCTTTATTAGTTTTCCTCTTGAACCACAGACAAGAGCTTTGTTTACATCAGACTCTATCTGTAATATTCTCTATAGAGCAATCTCTTAGTCCTAAACTTAATATGCTATCACCGTCTTTCGGAACCCCAGAATAAAAGTGTCAAGCTTATATCAGAATGTTGCTTTTGACCCAAGTAAGTTCTAGCAATTGATTCAGCACCCCTTACAAACACACGCCGTGATTCCTTTCAGCCAATCGACTCATCAGCTAAATATCCGACGGTACTGAAAAGACTACAGGCGGATCCGGAGGTGCGAGACTTTGTGAGCAGCATTCCGAGCGACCTGCGTCGGGAACTGGACAGCCCGAACAGCCAACAACGTTATACCGTCTTTGCGCCGAAAAATTCAGCCTGGAATAGTGCCAAAAACAAGGCATCCAGTCCGCAGGTTGGTTTTTTATTACTACGAAATGATCTCAGCGTTTATTTCTGTCTAATTCCTGTTAGTTTTGGGCAGATAGGCTGGAGGCATTATTTTGATATTTGTTTTCCTTCTACAGTGATTTCTTATCTGCTTGTGTGGCAATGAGATGCGTGGAGCGTTTGTCCCAGACCACAAATGGCGTCCACAAATATGCCTCTGACTACTGCCTTTCATTCTTAAATAGAGACCAGAAGGCAAACATTTCTTGGAAAGGATGGTAGCCTAAACAGGACACAGGAATCGGAACGCCACGCCCACTTAAAATAGGTGGCCTTCTCATGCGTTTCAGGAAGGTTGAATATTCCCGTACCTTAACTGTTACACTAACACAAAACTAAACTGCAACTTTAACTTTCATTCTAACCGTGCCCTGAACTTGAACCACACAGCTAGTACAAATCCAAACTTTAACCCTTATCATTATCCTGACCCTTGCCCCGACCTTAACCTGACCTTAAACTGAACCCTAACCCTCACCCATAACTCTAAACCTCACTTCTCCGGAATTTGACGCAAAGTCACGCCTATTGTAGACGGTGTCTGTTCCCTTGCCCTGCTTATATGACCATGCAAGTCCTCTTCATTTATTTCCTTCCATTTATTATTATAACTTTTAAAAAGTCTGTGTTAGAGAAGCCTGTAAAAGTTTGAAGGAGAAATTGCTTATCGGGTGCGCAGTCTCTGTTTTGTATTTTATGAAGTTGGAAGATGACAATGGCCCAGCCCAGGATACAAATATCACATGCACTCAGACAGGATGAATGTTAGTATGCATGCATAAGTGACTTTGCTGTTTGCCTTTTATTATGGAATCCATAATCCGCGACAGTTGCGCTCGAAAGGATGACATGGACCTAGATGCAGCCTGAAAACGAACAATCCCTGGCATTGCTGACTAGATTCCTGGGTCTATTTTATATGCTACGGTGCCACAAACAGACTGAGTTGCAGGTGCGCAGGACCGACACGACCACTACATTGGCTTGCGGCATGCATTTACCATATTGCACCGAGCCTGCGCGAAATCCTAGCTACCGTCGTACAGGCATGCGGCACGCCTTAAACGGAAGAAGACACCATGCCAAGCAGTGTGATCGGTCTTATTAGCCGTCAGATGGGTTCGCGTAGATCAGTTGTGTATGAGAGAGGCAAGAGGTGGTGGGCTCCATAGCGAAGGGTTCCTTCTAACCACAAATCTGCGCATTCCTTATGGACCTGAAACCACCACGACACGCTAATATTTGTAATTTAGAAGGCTTTCAGCCGAATGGATAACTCAGTCTTCATTCGCAGACAGATTCAGACTGCAATGGTTCTTTCTCAGTGTGGCCCCTACGGCTACTCTCCTTTTCGTGAGATCTGAAACCCCGCATGCGACATGGAACTCCGATATCAAGCAGCCAGTTTACATTTCGCTGTCTTATTGGTAGTATCGAATGTTGAACTTGATGTTGTAAAGGGAATCGCCCAAGAGGTGACTTAGGTCTCCGAGCAATCACTTGACGAATTTGTACGTAATGCACTCGGTTGGAGGCTATAATTCATAGTGTAATGTAGGCTTCTGTTATCAGATGTTTCTGAAACAAAATTATCAATTGCTCGTTGCTTTGGCGTGTATAGGCACTGCAGTAGATCAATAGAAAAGAATAATCATACTTCTGCAAAATAATACCCCAGCGACTCAATATACGATGTAAGGGTAGGATTGGGGTCCAGTTACAAAAGTTGGGAGCTGAATACAATTAAATTCAAGCACACAAATTAAACATAGCAACAAAATATGAAACTCGGACTGTTCAGCTGCTCGGAAGATTGAAGAGGATGGACGCGCCTTTTATTTTAATAGGATGAAGTTCCACAGCCCTTATAGTATAGAACCCGAACGACCCATTCGACAGGTTTTGTTCCCAGAAGACATCGGTCTGGTATTTTTCTGACCCCCTAATCCAACAAAACTTGCTTTATGCCACGCCGCACGAGAGCTGTGACGGCTAAATTGGTGGTGTACCTTAAACGCCAAAATCCCCGTACAAAATTCCCTTCGGGGATTAAAAATAGAATAAGCCAGTAACAGGAATAAAGGTTATAACACAAAGCTGGAGCATGGTTCCTATATAAACTGTCCATTAGCTACCCACAAATGCACGTTTGCCAGATTGAGAAACTTTTTCTATTGTGCTGGTGACTAGCCGTGGTGATTGACCGGCCGCGCATCATTTACCCGCGGCAGTGATTTGTGTTCCGACCCATATGTATGTCCGTTAAAGACAGATATCTGGCTTTGGGGTCGGACTCGGTGATAGCTGGGCGCTGCAGCACCAAGGTCGAGCAAAAACCTTCAGCTAACCACAGGTGCTGTGTATAATCGGAAATAGGAGCGATATGCGCGCACAGACTGGCACAGGAGGCAAGTGAGAGGGGCGCACACTGCCGTTTTTGAAAGGCCACATGATCACTTGAGGTAGGGCCAAGGGGAATATCACGAAAAATAAGACGTACAGTCCCTACTGCATCGTGGACTTTGAAGAAGAGGTAGTGGATTTTTAGTGACCCAACTCCGAGCGCACGCGCACACGCGACTCCTAGCATGTGTGCAAGCACCAATGCTTGCCTACCCCAATCAACTTTGGCCAATCATCTTCAAGGCTGACGCACACGGGACCCCACTGTGACGAATGCCATACTCTCACACTTCGGATCTGGCGCCTCTCGGATGCAGAGGCATGCTCGTTCAACCTATTCTCTATTACCTCTGTACAGAATGCAATACTCCTCTCCTCTGGCGTCTCAGTTCTTCCTTTCCCACACGGAACCAGGCCTGAAGGTCCCAGTGGCAGGGGTTTACCTTATTAACTTAACTCACTGCGATAGATCCGGTTTTCGGAAAGGGCAGACAGCCAAGAAATTTCTTTTGTGCACCCTTTCTAATCCCATTATTAATTTCATTTTTGCATTTTTCGGACATAAAAATAAAAACACACAACAAAAGCGTCGGATAGTAAAGGACAAGAGAGTAGACTAACGATCGACTGAAATTATACAGCCTCGTCTTTATCGGAGGGGAACCAGCACCGTTTGATGTAATTTTGACTTATGCACCACAAAACCCCTGAAACTGTTACATGTAATCTCTAACTGTGCTGCACAACATTTTATTCTCTTTTTCTCATCTAGGCCGTGGAAAGTTTGGTACGTGCCCATGTGATGGACAGTATGGTCTGTCGCAATTCAATAGATCCACAGAAGCGAATAATTGGCCAGACTAAGAACAAGAGCCCTCTAAATGCAGTCCAAAAACCCGATGGGTCACGTGTAGTATTCGATGCCTGTGGTTCCGAAGTTCCGTTGAGGAATTTGGACAAGATGGCGGGCAACGGAGTGGTGCATGTCACGGACCAAGTTCTCTGGGGAACTGAAGGTAAGCGGGACATATGTCAGTAGTCAGGCGAACCTGATTGTCTCGTTTAATAGCGTGCCAAAAATCTTCAAAAACCTTATTTCACCTGGATAAGTAAAGACAATTTTTGTCTATGGTAGTCATTTACGGTAGGTGCTTTAGTAGAATCTTTCAAAAGTAAAATGTTACCGATTAAATAATTACATGTGTAATTATATTACTCGTAATAAATGAGTAGCTGTGTATATTCACTTTGTTTTTTCTCTTGCCGACGGTTGCCCGCTTTTCGCCCGCATATATGTAAACGACCGCTTCATTAAATTTTTCTGCTGTATATATGCCTTCCCTGGTCGCTGTATCACCAATAGGTAGCTCAAAGACGGTTGCCTATCTTTACCTTGATAAAATTAAACTGAGCTACTAGGCTAGCAAGTCCCTAGTACGACGGTTGCACCGCGTTTCAAATGGAAACAACATGTCACATTTAGAGGTGCTATTACTTATTATGACTATTTTAGCGATGGACCTCCAGGAAGCCCTCCAGTGTCTCTCTAAAGACAGCAAGTCTGACCTCAGTCGGGCCGCGCAGGAAATGGCACGCTGCAATATTAATGTTCGTCCGCAAGAAAATGTAGTTGTTCTTCTGCCGAACAAAAAAGCCCTTCAAGGTAGGTCTGCACTGTAGGTTCCATTTTTGTGGTTATTTTAACCTGAGTCCTTATGTTGTTGGTAACACTAGTTCCTCTTGTTTTCTGTTGCAGGCGCTCAAGGACTGGATCCATGCTCGGTGTACTCTCACAATATTTTGACATCTTCAGACTGTCAAATGAAGAACGGAAACGGTGTAGGTGTAACACAAGAATGTCAATTTCAGTCTAAGTACACAGCACCAAACGGTGACAAGCCAGTGGTAACAAACCAGTATATTCGCGAACGTGATGGTAGCAAGGTAACTGTCACACAATTATCCCTTTTGGCTCATCGTTATAGGATGAGTTTTTGTGCAAAAAAATGGTTTCGATTTTTAAAAGTCTAAAATTTTCAATTTTCTGAAAAGCATTTTTTCTCCAATTCAGTATGATTTAAACTTCCTACGATTGAAACAGAGGAATTTATAAGAAACTTTAAGCAAGAAGGCAAGAAGTGTCTGTACAAATGCTGTGAGCAGTAAACCGCAGTCTCATACGCTTAGAACATATCGTATAGGCGTTACATCTACTACGGCCATACATACATTAGCCCAATAACCGGATTCTTTGCCAAACTTGATGCATTATTTTCTCTCTGGTTTTCTTCTAAACCCATTCTCAGAGTTGAACTTGCCTTTTGATGGCATAGACCACGGAGATAACTATTTCCAAGTTTAATCTGGAAATTCTGTTAATATGAGCAATTTGGTAAGCCCACAGCAATAGCTCGGTGTTAACGGTTAAAGGGACCTGGGCCGAGTCGTGAAGCGACAGGTTAGGAACAGTTTACGCATTTTATTTGACTCGTTATTCCTCTCCTTCTCATTGAAAAAAAAACAAGTCAAAATGCTTCACCATATAAAGTTCTATAATTGCTTGTATTATCACAGTTTCGAGACCGTCTGTGCAATGTCCCCACCGGAAGCCGTTAGTTGACTGCGGGAAAATTTCAAAGAAAAAAAAAGACATCCTATTTTAACCTTCAATGGGCTATGTTGGACTATTTTTCCACCTGCACCGGTTGAATTATTTCCGGTACCCCCAAGTGACTACTCCTAATCTCATATAAAGTAAAAACGGAAGGACATTTGGTGGATTTTTACAGAATTCCATGTCCATAACGAGCGAGTCATACTGAGGTACGATCAAATTGACTTTAACCATGGAAGACACTCGCATACTTTTGCCTCGGTCGCAGGTAACAAAATGTTCAGATTTCTTAGCATATAAGAGACCAGTGGATAAGTTATAGGTTGGGTTTAATAAAAGTTAAGGTAGAATGTTATGGCAGTTGACCTCGAAAGCCCAGCCCTAAAAGGGACAAGCCAAATTAATATATCAGCTTTCCAGCCGTCTGGATAATAAATGTTCCATACCCGACACCGTCCATAAGTAATCCAATTATTGCATTCTCTGGGTCGAACTCTATTGAGCCAAAGTCCAGAAACGTCGTTTTAAGCTGTGTTTTATTATATGGTTGAATGAATAATTTTATAATGCTGTTTGATGCTGCTGAATACCTTTCGAATTGTTTTCCCCATCGCTGCTTAGGAAAGTCTGAACTTCCTAGGGTTAACTCCAAGTATTTTTTTGTGGCCCAGTACGGTTGAAAACTCCGATTTTTCTTCTCACGTTTTACGTGGATATTATGGATTTAGCAAACCATAGTATTCGAGTACAATACGAAATCAAACAAATGGAATCAGTTATTTATATGGAGTGCGTCTTGTACATTACTTCTTATTGGCAATCTAAAGCTGACCTACTATTGTTTTAAACCTACCGAACTCGATTCAGTCATTTTTCCCTTCAAGTGTAAACATCACACTGGAGAGGTCAATTCAAATTTCCTTGTTCTACATTAGGACGCATTTTGCATCACAGCTGGAGAACTGCGGTAACAGTAACTTAAACCAGTAGGATGTGAATATGTGAAACGCCTACCCAGGGTTTGGGTGTAAAACCATCTCTGATACGGCCGTAGGGTCTCGACGGCTTTACTGGGAGTTCACTAGCCATTCCATTTAAATGGAATGGCTAGTACTTTAGTGAATTAGAGCAAAATTTGAGTGTATCTGCCTGATGACCTGC